CTTACTACTAGACCCCTGAACTCTGCATTACTTACTACTAGACCCCTGAACTCTGCATTACTTACTACTAGACCCCTGAACTCTGCATTACTTACTACTAGACCCCTGAACTCTGCATTACTTACTACTAGACCCCTGAACTCTGCATTACTTACTACTAGACCCCTGAACTCTGCATTACTTACTACTAGACCCCTGAACTCTGCATTACTTACTACTAGACCCCTGAACTCTGCATTACTTACTACTAGACCCCTGAACTCTGCATTACTTACTACTAGACCCCTGAACTCTGCATTACTTACTACTAGACCCCTGAACTCTGCATTACTTACTACTAGACCCCTGAACTCTGCATTACTTACTACTAGACCCCTGAACTCTGCATTACTTACTACTAGACCCCTGAACTCTGCATTACTTACTACTAGACCCCTGAACTCTGCATTACTTACTACTAGACCCCTGAACTCTGCATTACTTACTACTAGACCCCTGAACTCTGCATTACTTACTACTAGACCCCTGAACTCTGCATTACTTACTACTAGACCCCTGAACTCTGCATTACTTACTACTAGACCCCTGAACTCTGCATTACTTACTACTAGACCCCTGAACTCTGCATTACTTACTACTAGACCCCTGAACTCTGCATTACTTACTACTAGACCCCTGAACTCTGCATTACTTACTACTAGACCCCTGAACTCTGCATTACTTACTACTAGACCCCTGAACTCTGCATTACTTACTACTAGACCCCTGAACTCTGCATTACTTACTACTAGACCCCTGAACTCTGCATTACTTACTACTAGACCCCTGAACTCTGCATTACTTACTACTAGACCCCTGAACTCTGCATTACTTACTACTAGACCCCTGAACTCTGCATTACTTACTACTAGACCCCTGAACTCTGCATTACTTACTACTAGACCCCTGAACTCTGCATTACTTACTACTAGACCCCTGAACTCTGCATTACTTACTACTAGACCCCTGAACTCTGCATTACTTACTACTAGACCCCTGAACTCTGCATTACTTACTACTAGACCCCTGAACTCTGCATTACTTACTACTAGACCCCTGAACTCTGCATTACTTACTACTAGACCCCTGAACTCTGCATTACTTACTACTAGACCCCTGAACTCTGCATTACTTACTACTAGACCCCTGAACTCTGCATTACTTACTACTAGACCCCTGAACTCTGCATTACTTACTACTAGACCCCTGAACTCTGCATTACTTACTACTAGACCCCTGAACTCTGCATTACTTACTACTAGACCCCTGAACTCTGCATTACTTACTACTAGACCCCTGAACTCTGCATTACTTACTACTAGACCCCTGAACTCTGCATTACTTACTACTAGACCCCTGAACTCTGCATTACTTACTACTAGACCCCTGAACTCTGCATTACTTACTACTAGACCCCTGAACTCTGCATTACTTACTACTAGACCCCTGAACTCTGCATTACTTACTACTAGACCCCTGAACTCTGCATTACTTACTACTAGACCCCTGAACTCTGCATTACTTACTACTAGACCCCTGAACTCTGCATTACTTACTACTAGACCCCTGAACTCTGCATTACTTACTACTAGACCCCTGAACTCTGCATTACTTACTACTAGACCCCTGAACTCTGCATTACTTACTACTAGACCCCTGAACTCTGCATTACTTACTACTAGACCCCTGAACTCTGCATTACTTACTACTAGACCCCTGAACTCTGCATTACTTACTACTAGACCCCTGAACTCTGCATTACTTACTACTAGACCCCTGAACTCTGCATTACTTACTACTAGACCCCTGAACTCTGCATTACTTACTACTAGACCCCTGAACTCTGCATTACTTACTACTAGACCCCTGAACTCTGCATTACTTACTACTAGACCCCTGAACTCTGCATTACTTACTACTAGACCCCTGAACTCTGCATTACTTACTACTAGACCCCTGAACTCTGCATTACTTACTACTAGACCCCTGAACTCTGCATTACTTACTACTAGACCCCTGAACTCTGCATTACTTACTACTAGACCCCTGAACTCTGCATTACTTACTACTAGACCCCTGAACTCTGCATTACTTACTACTAGACCCCTGAACTCTGCATTACTTACTACTAGACCCCTGAACTCTGCATTACTTACTACTAGACCCCTGAACTCTGCATTACTTACTACTAGACCCCTGAACTCTGCATTACTTACTACTAGACCCCTGAACTCTGCATTACTTACTACTAGACCCCTGAACTCTGCATTACTTACTACTAGACCCCTGAACTCTGCATTACTTACTACTAGACCCCTGAACTCTGCATTACTTACTACTAGACCCCTGAACTCTGCATTACTTACTACTAGACCCCTGAACTCTGCATTACTTACTACTAGACCCCTGAACTCTGCATTACTTACTACTAGACCCCTGAACTCTGCATCACTTACTACTGAACCGTGAACTCTGTATCACTTACTACTGACCCCTGAACCCTGCGCCACTTACTACTGACCCCTGAACTCTGCATCACATACTACTGACCCCTGAACTCTGCATCACTTATTACTGACCCCTGAACTCTGCATCACTTACTACTGATCACTGAACTCTCTATCACTTACTACTGACCCCTGAACTCTGTATCACTTACTACTGACCCCTGAACTCTGCATCACATACTACTGACCCTTGAACTCTGCATCACATACTACTGACCCTTGAACTCTGCATCACATACTACTGACCCTTGAACTCTGCATCACATACTACTGACCCTTGAACTCTGCATCACATACTACTGACCCTTGAACTCTGCATCACATACTACTGACCCTTGAACTCTGCATCACATACTACTGACCCTTGAACTCTGCATCACATACTACTGACCCTTGAACTCTGCATCACATACTACTGACCCTTGAACTCTGCATCACATACTACTGACCCTTGAACTCTGCATCACATACTACTGACCCTTGAACTCTGCATCACATACTACTGACCCTTGAACTCTGCATCACATACTACTGACCCTTGAACTCTGCATCACATACTACTGACCCTTGAACTCTGCATCACATACTACTGACCCTTGAACTCTGCATCACATACTACTGACCCTTGAACTCTGCATCACATACTACTGACCCTTGAACTCTGCATCACATACTACTGACCCTTGAACTCTGCATCACATACTACTGACCCTTGAACTCTGCATCACATACTACTGACCCTTGAACTCTGCATCACATACTACTGACCCTTGAACTCTGCATCACATACTACTGACCCTTGAACTCTGCATCACATACTACTGACCCTTGAACTCTGCATCACATACTACTGACCCTTGAACTCTGCATCACATACTACTGACCCTTGAACTCTGCATCACTTACTACTGACCCCTGAACTCTGCATCAATTACTATTGACCCCTGAACTCTGCATCACATACTACTGACCCCTGAACTCTGCATCACATACTACTGACCCTTGAACTCTGCATCACTTACTACTGACCCCTGAACTCTGCATCACTTACTACTGACCCCTGAACTCTGCATCACTTACTACTAGACCCCTGAACTCTGTATCACTTATTACTGACCCCTGAACTCTGCATCACTTACTACTAGACCCCTGAACTCTGCGTCACTTACTACTGACCCCTGAGTCACTTACTACTGACCCCTGAACTCTGCGTCACTTACTACTGACCCCTGAACTCTGAGTCACTTACTACTAAGCTCTGAATGCTGCATTACTTGTTACTGTCCCCTACTCATGACCCCTGTGCTTCACGTGTTACCCGCTGATGACCCCTGTACCCCATGTGTTACCCACTGATGACCCCTGTACCCCATGTGTTACCCACTGATGACCCCTGTACCCCATGTGTTACCCACTGATGACCCCTGTACTCTATATGTTACCTACTCCTGACCCCTGCAACCTGTTTGTTACCTACTCCTGATTACTGCTCTCTGCTCCATTGACTCTTGACCCGTGTTCTGCGTTACACACTCCTGACCCCCAAAGTCTGTGCTGCATTATTTCACTCCTTATACTGCCCAGGGCACTTTGACTTTACGTATTCAATGTCTGCTTCCTCTTCCAGCAGTCTCTGACCAACCGTTGCGGTGCATGCTATAATGGGGGGGGGGTGATTTTGTGGGAGTGTTGTGATAAGGGGGGGGGGGTGATTTTGTGGGAGTGGCTACCAATGGGGGTGTGGTTTTATGTATGTGGTTACAAGTGGGCGTGGTCAGTAGGGTGTCCCTGGCTTTCCTTTTGAAAATCTGGTAACCTAACTCTATAACATAGATGGGAGGGGTTCTGTAGTCCTCAGAGATAAACATGTAACTGATAAAAGTGCAGCGCTGGCAGGAAGCACAACTCACACCTAATACAATACAAGGAGTATGAGAAATAACTGTAACGTGACGGACAGATTTCATTTATTGCAGTCAAGACAGAAAAAAACAACATTTGTTTAAGGTCAATATGAAATATCGCATACACATATGTTGTATTTTCATATCCTGCCAGCAGGTGGAGCTCCTGGTTTCCTTTCACATGTTTTCCATGGTGTGTACAGAGCTCAATAGCTGAAGCTGAAATCCCCTCCCTCTGTACAACTTCATCTTGGGTTTCAATCAGAGACAGAGTGCCTGAAAGCAAACACCTGCTGTGTTCTTGCTCTGGGACCCCGAGGGAACCCTGTATTAAATGGATATTTATCAAATGGCCATCGCAAGCTATTAATTTGTTTTGATTGCATTTTCATTCTGCTTTTTCTACATAATGCAGTTTTAAACCAGGGAATAAAAACAGAAGTGCAAACTCATAGAGCTACAATCATGCGACCAGGAAAGACCTGTATGGTATATATGCCCGGTAGTCCTAATCAGCTGCCACATTCTGATTCAGGATCCCTGTGGGAACTGAGATGTGAGATAAGGGAGAGTTTCTTTGAAAACCTTTTCCCGCACTCAGAACATGAATATGGCTGGACCCCGGTGTGGACCTGATGATGTTTCACCAGACCGGACTTGTTGGTAAAGCCCCTGCCGCATTCAGAGCAGGAGTAGGGCCGAGCGCCGGTGTGGATTTTTTGATGAGTGGCAAGGTTGGACCTTCCCGTAAAAGATTTCCCGCACTCCAAACATGAGTAGGGCTTTTCGCCAGTGTGGATCCTCTGGTGCGTGATAAGAAGAGCCCTTGAAGAAAAGCTTTTCCCGCACTCCGAACAGGAATACGGCCTCTCTCCCGTGTGAGACCTCTGGTGTAAAATAAGATGTCCAATCTGCGTGAAACACTTCCCACACTCGGAGCAGGAAAACGGCTTTTCGTCCCTGTGAATTCGTTCATGGGCGTCGAGAACTGACTTCTGCCTGAAACATTTCCCACACTCCGAGCAGGAAAAGGGTCGCTCGCCTGTGTGAACTCTTTCGTGGATGATGAGATATCGTCTCTGAGAAAAACACTTTCCACATTCCGAGCAGGAATAGGACTCCTCCCCCGTGTGAAATTTCTCATGGGTGATGAGAGATGATTTCTGGGCAAAGCATTTGCCGCACTCGGAGCAAGAATATGGCTTCTCTCCCGAGTGAGTCCTCTGATGCCTGGCAAGGGCTGATTTCTGTATGAAACCTTTTCCACACTCAGAGCAAGAGAACGGCCGATCACTGCTGTGGCTCTTTTGATGTCTCCGGAGAATAAATTTATGGGCGAAACATTTCCCACAATCGGGGCACGGATATGGCTTCTCCACATTGTGACTCCTCTGGTGTGAGATTAGTTCTGCCCTTTGGGTACAACGTTTCCCACACTCAGGACATGGGTATATGTCATCCCAGCAAGCAGGTGTATGATGGTTACCGGGAAACCCAACGCCATGTGCAGAGGGAACAGATGATAGATCGGAACTGTGTAGTGCCGGGTGGGGATTTAGGATAACGGTGTTCTTTTCAGAGTTAGGTGTGAGGTGGTACCTCTTATATCGACCATCTGCAGAAAACAAAAACGGTTTATTCCTGATCTGTAAAACGAAAAGTGAAAACTGCTGGGCACGTTGTTTGTTCCATACAAGTCTATGGGAATGCCAAACCCGCCTGAAGCAGGTCAACGGGGAATCAGAAAGAGGTAAATTGCAGATCCCGAGGCCAATAGCAGGTCAGAATGATGTCCACTGAAGGTCAGGAGGTCAATGCAGGTCAGGAGGTTAAACTGCAGATCAGGAGGTCAATGCAGATCAGGAGGTCAATGCAGGTCAGAATGATGCCCACTGAAAGTCAGGAGGTCAATGCAGGTCAACTGCAGGTCAGAATGATGCCCACTGAATTCAGGAGATCAATGCAGATCAGGAGATCAATGCAGGTCAGGAGGTCAATGCAGGTCAGGAGGTCAACTGCAGGTCAGGAGATCAATGCAGATCAGGAGGTCAATGCAGGTCAGAAGGAAGTAAACTGCAGATCCGAAGGCCAATAGCAGGTCAGAATGATGCCCACTGAATTCAGGAGATCAATGCAGGTCAGGAGGCCAATGCAGGTCAGAAGGAGGTCACCTGCAGATCAGGAGATCAATGCAGGTCTGAAGGTCAACTGCAGAGCAGGAGGTCAATGCAGGACAAAGGGTTAACTGCAGATTCGGAGGTCAACTAAAGGTCAGAAGGAAGTCAACTGCTAGTTAGGAGTTCGAATGCAAGTCAGAAGGAGGTCACCTGCAAATCAGGAGGTCAATGCAAGTCAGAAGGTAAACTGCATATCATAGGGTCAACTGCAGATCAGGCAGTCAACTGCTGGTCAGAAGGAGGTGAACTGCATATCAGAAGGTCAAGTGCGGGTCACAAGGAGGTCAGCTGCAGATCAGGAGGTCAAGTGCCGGTAAGCAGGAGGTCAACTGCAGATCAATAAAGAGGTCAACTGCTGTTCAGGAGGTCATCGGTTCGAAAGTCAGCTGCGGATCAAAAAGAGGGTCCTGCAGAGCAGGAGGTCAACTTCTGTTAATAATGAGGTCAGCTGCAGGTCAGAAGGAGGTCAACTGCAGGCCAAACGCACCTGTCAATCATTTCTATATCATCCCAGAAGCATCTCCAACCAAGTCCAAAGCCCACCAACACAGACCAGCAATAAGTCTTTCTGTTCCGTCGAAGTCTTTTCCTACCCACCACTTTCTACTCACAGAGGAGGGGGGGTGGGGGAGGGGGAGATTGTGGTAGTCCCCAAAGAAGGAGAATGTGGGGCTCTTCTCTACTCACCGGTGTCAATCTCTGGCGGAATCTCCTCCTCGTCACGTAGATGATCAGACCTCGGAGACGACTCTTCTGCTTCCTCCTTCACTTCAACTTTGATAACATTTTGCTCCTGAATAACCCGAAGCAATAGAAACAGTAAAGTAGAGAAACACAAACTGTACAGCGGGTGTGAGAGGAAAGACGAGGTCCTGCCAAGCTGCTGACCACCCAGATACAAGCTGGGGGACGCATGGGGAACCAGATACAAGCTGGGGAACGCATGGGGAACCAGATACAAGCTGGGGGACGCATGGGGAACCAGATACAAGCTGGGGGACGCATGGGGAACCAGATACAAGCTGGGAGACGCATGGGGAACCAGATACAAGCTGGGGGCTGCATGGGGAACCAGATACAAGCTGGGGGACGCATGGGGAACCAGATACAAGCCGGGGAACCAGATATTGATCTGATGATCATTTCCTCTCGTAGATCGGCAATCCAGTCACTAAACCTGAGCCAAATCCCCTTACAAATACCACGCCCATCAAAGCTGAACTCCGGGGAACCAACCACATAGATTCCTCTAACACATACAGTATACATGAGCTGCTTTACCTTCAGCTCAGGAGAGCTTCACTGTGTAGCATGGCCTGATGCCGCACAGCCCTTGCACGCTGCTCATCACATGCGTTTCTATGCATTGGGGCCATTCTTGGGCACACTCCACAGCAGTATGTCCCCATCCGTAGGAACGCATTGGATAAGCGTCAAACGTCTGCAGCGGACTCAGAGCTCAGTGACTTGTGACTGGACAGAGGATCAGCAGCATGCTTCCCCCAGCTTGTGACTGGACAGAGGATCAGCAGCATGCTTCCCCCAGCTTGTGACTGGACAGAGGATCAGCAGCATGCTTCCCCCAGCTTGTGACTGGACAGAGGATCAGCAGCATGCTTCCCCCAGCCTGTGACTGGACAAAGGATCAGCAGCATGCGTCCCCCAGCTTGTGACTGGACAAAGGATCAGCAGCATGCGTCCCCCAGCTTGTGACTGGACAGAGGATCAGCAACATGCTTCCCCCAGCTTGTCACTGGACAGAGGATCAGGAGAGAGAGAGAGAGAGAGAGAGAGAGAGAGAGGGAGAGAGCAGAGGAGGGGCGGGAGGAGA